AATGTACCACAATGGGGAGTATTCAATAGTCGGGGGTGGTGGAGTTTAATATTAGGGGGAGGTGATTTAACACCGCTAAGTGTGACAGGTGCCTACGTTTCACCATTTGTTGGCAGTCAAAAATTCAGCTGACAAAAAGGGATCAGAGCCCATCAGCCTTCCTTCTTTTGTCTGCTTTTGTTTATGAAGCTGTCGTTTCCCCCACGAAGGATTGGTGACATGCCGCCTATTGTGAGGGCCTTCCAGAGTGATGACCTAAACACAACAGTATGTAGAGCAAAAGCCTCTAAGTTCCTTACACAATTTGGAGTTTCTGATTGGGGTTATATAGGGATAATGGTGACATTGGGCTATTATAATAGGGTGATATATATATATATAGGGTTATATAGGGTTGATGGGGTTAGGAGATTATAGTGTAGGCTTTAGGTGCAGGGCCATCATTTTTCCTGCTATGGGCTGGACCAAGATGTCTGGCAGTTCTCGTTGGCTGTTTTTTCAAGTAACAGTCCTCCCCCCACTCAGCTAGTGGCTTGATAACGAGCTGGCTGGGAGATGGGTGTGATACTGTTGATAATAGAAATGCTATGGGACCATACTATAGTAGAGTACCCAAATTCCAAGGTAGAAGTACTAGGGTCACACAGCTAGGTCAACGTTGAGATGCAGCAGGATAGCAATAACAAGAGCATGACATTCATTGGCAAAACCAGCAGGTACAGCCATGCTAGCAACAGCAATTGTAAGCCTGTTCCTTGCCTGGCCCTGCAATAACTCATGCTCAAGCTTTAAAAGTGCGAGCATCAATGTTTCAGTCGCAAGCTCCAGATCGGGTGTTCAAGCTGATTGAAGGCACCATGAGTTACATCCCTTCACTTGCAGAAACATCTCTCACCAACAATCCCAACAGCTCATTGTTCAGGCTTGTGTCTAGCCCGAGCCTTCATTGCTCTGCGCGCCAATGGCTTGCGTGGATGCGGCATGGCCTATCTCCTGCTCTTGCCTCAGTCGTCACCATTGAGCAGCCATCATGACCCGCGGGGTCTCTCAAACTTGAAGTTGCGCCCCCTGTTAACGAGGGGAGCCCCATTTCGCGCCATTGGCGTTCTCGTTGGTTCCATATACTGCGGGCCCAAACTTAGCATGGAATATGCCATATGCGCTTCCACAAACACTAAACCGCGCGGATCCTCTTTCTGGGAAGTCGGGACTTTTGAAATATCTGTACTTTGGGACAGGCAATCCCCTCTCGCCTTTAGCAGAATTCCCCAGCCCCTAATAGCACAATTCGCCCTTCAATTTATAAGGGCGTTATAAGGGAAACATATGAAACATTGACCGCAAGGTGGGTCAGGAGTTTCATGGTGCGAGGAGATCAGAAGATTGCTGTCCAGCTACATACGTTGGAATACAAAAAATCCTGAACCCGCAAGTCCTAATCCTATGCCCCCTCGACTGCAGACTCGAAAGCCTAAATTAAACCACAGTCCGTACTGCCGAAGCTTGACTCTCCAAACCCCAAGCCCTAGTCCTCAAACCCTAACCCCGAGTACTGAGAGGTACTGTTGATGGCGTGACCACGGCAGAATTGATTTCGGGCCAATTGGAACGCACAGCTTGCCGATTGAACGCTTGTGTCACATGGTTTAGGATTTCAGAGTGAGGGTTGGGGTGTTGGTTTCCATAAATTTTGCATATGTCTGTATATGTATGAGAAGCATATAGGATTCATAGAAGGAGGTTATGAAGTGATTGAAAGAAGGTGTGCAGGGTCTAGGGAAGCCCAAGAGGGATGGACTTTTGCTCCAAGCCCTGTTCCATTGATCTATGCCTACCTTAACGAGACCCGTGAAGGGTTTCACGGGCTTCCTTACCTGTTACCTAATGTCTCCTGCATGGGTCCCACATTTTGCCGATCATAAGCTTCTTGTATAGGACTGCAGTAGGGTAGGGACAATGCTAAAGGCAATAAACACTTGCGGACGGCTTCAGCAGAAGTATGTGTTCATCCTTCATACTACCCTCCAGTATCCTGGGCGCATCCCAGATAGTAGAACAGTAGTACTTTGCCAGAACTTCTAGAAAGCCCGATTCCCCCAACATACTCTTCGGGATTCCCCATGTGAGCTATAGTCATAGTCTAAATCCTTAATGGGGGTTATATAGGGGAGTATTATAGGGCTTATTAGGGGGGATACCAGGAGTTTTGACTATAGCTCATATAGTAAGAATCGCAGATGAGTTCCACAAGTACGGCACAGCATCAGCATCGCTCTTCTGATCGAGGTCATTCTTGCAGAACGTCCCAACTTGCCCCGGCTCAGAGCGACCCCTGTAATTAGGGATTAGGGGTTTGCGTTTGGGTTTAGGGAGGGTTTGGGGGTTTAGGGGTTTAGCGTTCAGGGGTTTGGGGGTTCAGGGTTTCTCAAGGGTTCCTGGGTTGTACCCTTAGGGTCGTACCCCTAAACGGTTTCCCCAATAAGGCCCTAATATAGCCCTCATATGAGCACATGTAGTCTCCTTTGGAACCTTTCAAGGATCCCAAGAGCCAGGGGTACAACCTTAGGGCTGCAAGTCTAGAACCTTTAAGTTTAGGGATTTTGGGGTTTAGGGTTTAGGGTTGAGTTTAGGGATTTGTGGGTTTGAGGTTTCAAGGTTTAGGGCATATTAGCAATGATCGGATTGAAAGCTTAGAGAGGTTACATGGAGTATGTAGCGGTGTTCAAGATTGGTTTAGGGTGTAAATCTAAATGGAGAATCTCATGGAAAAGAATATGGAGCATGAAATGGAAACTGGGATTACATGGGGCTTATGTGATTTGGGGATTCCTTAGGTAGAGAGAAACCCAACTTATGATCAGCTCATATCTTACAGTCTCTTAGAGTTCGCATTACAGTCAGCACAAGGATCATATGGGTGTTTCCCCAAATTAGGGGTTCTGGGGGTCCCGAGAATCAGGAATTGTATTTTTGGGTCTATATTGGGGTTCCCCCTATTTATGGAAACTGTCATATGCTTGCTAGTAGGAAAGAAAGAACGACTCGCATGATCTTGAGAAAGCTGTATCAGGAATGATGAAGCATGATCAGATCCCGATTTGGTAGGCGTTCGAAAGCATGTGCTTTTGGGTTCCAAGTAAATTGCGGCCCCTCATGTCTTCGGCACCCCAAACGGACAACCCTCCATTCCAAGCCATACAAGCAAGCCATACAAGAGCAGTAGCAACGACAGCGAGAATGATAAGCGGCCTGCCCGAACTTAGAGCCTTGTTCAACCATCAGTTGGGCTAAGCCTAAGCCCTAAGCCCTAGATACGGGTGCCACCCCTGAACCCTAAACCCTTAAACTCTAAACCCTAAACTGTTGCTCCAAAGCCACCCTTCCTTTCGGACCCCGCCCCTCTCCCTCGGGTGCAGAGCAACTCTCAGCTTACCGGAGGGATGGTCAACATGGAGATCCGTATTTTGGGGTACCCTAATTATTCGGGCCGGTTTAGGGTTTAGGGCTTAGGGCTAAGGGTCTAGGTTTAGGGTTTAGGGGCCTCAGACAACCCATCCATATCCCCACGTAGTATAGTAGTTATCATTTCCTTTACCACTCCCCTTCATTTCTAAGTGCCCCATTATACGCTAGGTGGACTCCCCCCGCAATAATAGGGACTATAAGGGACGCTGGTGATTATTTTCGGGTCTTCCTATACTCCTGTCTATATCAATTTTTACAGGGTGGGAACTCTCAACCCTAAACCCATCATACAAGCCTCCCTCTCTTCAGCTCTGGGCCTCCACAAGGTCCTAAATGTTGGGGTTTTTAAGGTTAGGATCAAAGGGTTCAAGGTTTATGTGCGGAGTAGGGTACGTACGTACGCCTTAAAGATCTTTAATCCTCAACCTAAACCACTAAGAGGCCCAAAACCCCAAACCATAAGACCTAAACCCTAAACCATAAGACTCAAACCGTCTGGACGAGGATTGCCAGCAGACGGATCCGGTGCCAAGATGGTGCGGGCCACAGGGTCTGATCTTGCACTCTGTTTATTTAGGGATACTGGAAAAGAAAAATGGAAACTACTATTTAGGGTTTAGAGTCATATTGGGATAATGGAAAAGAAAATGGGAACTACTATAATTAGTTATGATATGGTATCTCATGGTATATTATAGTATGTTGTGAGTAAGGGGCTCCCCCAAAGTATGAATATGGGTAGTGCAAGCAATAAGTAAAGCCTGAAGGATTAGATTAGAAGTTCAGAGTTTGGGGTTTAGGTTGGCATGTTGGGGTTGGTTATCGAGCGGCTTTGTGCCCCCTCTTGCCAATGACACCCTTCGGGGTTTAGGGTTTAGGGTTTAGGGCCCAGCTCGTCCGTAATCAGCCGAAGCCTGCACCTTATCTGGAGGTTCAGAAGTTTGGAGTTCAGGGTTTAGGGATTCAGTGATAAAGAACAGGGTAGCAAAATTACCATTCTTTCAACCTAAACTCCATGAGCCCACATACTTCAAACCCTACAATCCCTAAAGCCCGCAAGCCCCGCAATCCCTGTAATCCACGTAAATTCTTAGATCACTCCCCATCCCATGATATTGAAAACCTTGCATGCTCTTGGTATACAAATACTTCAATGCCACAATTCCCCAGGTACAGGGTACGTAGGGCCATGGTTGATACAATGAGGGTCCAAGTACCTAAATAATAGGGGTTTAGGGCCCAAATACCATGAATGTTATAGTATTTGGGCCCTAAAACCCTATCATCTGGGTCCTTGGACCCTTATACAATCCCCCCTATATCCTTCTATATCCCCTAGAACTCCCTTAAAGGGACCCTATTATTTGGGTCCTTGGACCCTCAGGGATAGGGGATGAACTTGACCCTGGCACAGGGCATGGGCCGAGGAGAGCCGAGCTCGCACTCCTCGAGCTGCAGGTGCCTTGCAGGATTTGGGGCCAAGGATTTAAGATTGATTGTGTAGGATTTACCTAGACCCCCCAAGTACCCTCTATAGACCCTAGGTATCCCCAAATAGAACTCCCCTATGGTTTTGGAAATTCCTGGGCTCTTTAGCTCCCCTTATTATATTGATATAGACTATCCCTAGCTCCATAGCTCCCCCCAAAGGTATGGGTAGAGAAGCTACATAGACCCTATTTTAGGGTACTTGGGGGGTCCAGGTAGGGTTTAGGGTTTGGGATATACGGGTTTACAACGTTTTTTGGGGTTCACAGGTTATGCAGGGTTTGTAGAGTTCGAGCTGGCTCACTTGTAGGTATTCATGGGCAGGTTTTGTGGCGTTTACAGGGGTTTGGGGCTGGGTTGGCTGCCATGATGACATGATGTAAGCACTTGTTGAATCATTGGCGCTTCTTGGCGCGGTTCCCCCAAACGAGCACTTACTGTTTCACCATAGAGCTTAGCCCTTTCCTAGGGTATTTGGCACCCAAAACCATGGTTACGAACTTTCAGCCTACCATGACACCAAGAACACAACCTAGGCAACGAAGGAGGGATGCGTTAGAAGAGATACAGGAGGGTTGCCAACATTACCCTGCCCAAGCTAATTACTGTGGAAACTCGGGATGCCCTGTGCAGAGTGGTGCCCCTGAAAAAGGGCTTATCTGGGGTTAGATTGTGGCGGTATGAGCTTTTGTGGGATGGGAGTTCTAGAGCATATGAGCTACGGATTAAAGCTAGGTTTGGGGGGGGACGTATAAAGGGATGTAAAGGGGGCTCAGGGACACGTACAATACTATAACTGTAGCCCAGGGCTCAGAAACAGTTCCACGGATAGGACTGCTGCCGGCCTATATAGTTCTACGCTTAACACAACGCCCACTTTTCCGGGTCCCCGGCGAGCCGCACTGACTTTGACCACCACAACATCTCTCCCAAGTCGAATGCAGAAGCCAGATTACTTGGGGTTTAGGGTTTAGGGTTAGAGTTTAGGGTTTGCTGTGATATAGGGCTAAAGCAGAGATGGTCATGTCACAGAGTCGCCTCAAGTGTGTCGTGCTGTGCGACATGCTGATGTGGCTTGACCGCGGCTGGCCATCCAATATCATTCACCCACCCCACACCGTCCCATGCGCCCAAACCACCCAAAGCTATTCATATTAAGAATTAGGAGCTAAACTCAGTTAGGTCCATACTGGTCAACGCAAAAATCGTTTTTACAGCCAGCACCTCCTTGCTTCTACAAGTCAAGTTTTTTGACAGGCCCATGAAACCTGGGGCTGCTGGCGGTAAGCTGGAGGTTTTTTGAAGGGAGGTTCCGAAGGGCCCCGGGCTCCCGCAGGCCTCTACCCATGGAGAACTGGTACCGGGCCTCACGTGGGTTCTACCGTGCCCATGGCTGTTCTCAAGCATGTCCACATCGATGTGGAGGGGCATAGACCCTGCTCACAATCGTAGATGGGCGGCCTATACCTTGAGTTTAGGGTTGAAGGTTCCGAATATTCTTACAGCAGAGCATACTCCGAAACCCGATTCCCAGAAATCAGGCCCCTTCAGTGAACAGTGAACCGTATGATATCGTGTAGATGCCTGTATAAGTTCGACCATTCTATCTTCAAAGCAATGCTGGTAATCATGTGAACCGACACGGATAAGATTAAGCTCGGTTTCCATCCATTTTATGTTCTATTTTCCAATTTGATTCTCTCTTGTCCACGCCGAACCCCTACAGTAAAGCTAACCCTATACCCTAAATCCTAAGCCCTAAACCTTTGAGCGAGGGGCTTCTGAATCCAGCTCTCAAAGCAGTTCAAAGCGGGACTGGGCATATACCTGGTCTGGTAACCAGTGCAACAGTGCAGGCGTAAAAGTCCGCTGGCTTCAAAAAACCCTAAACCTTATCCCTCTTCGCTTCCCCCAGCTTCAGGCTGTGAACCTCTGGAGTGGGAGGAGATCCTTGAGGAAGGACATCAGCGCATGCCCACACAGGACTTATCTGGGGAGTCTGGGGGATTATGGGGGCTTAGCGATCTAGGGCCTTAGGGTGCAAGGCTTGGGTTGGGGATTTAGGGTTGCAACGCTTGGAGTTTGGGATGTTTTGGTTTTGCCCGGTGGGATTTACTTGCGTAGTTGCGGACGTTTTGTGGCTTGGGATTTGGGTTGTGGTTTGCGGGGTTAAGGGGTCGGTTTATCCGACGCGGACTTACTTGGTGAGTTCAAGTTTCGGGGCTGCGGGATTTAGAGTTGTAGTATGGGTTAGTTAGGGTCTACAGGGGGTTATTGAGGGCAATGAAGGTAGGGTTCAAATTTTGCGTTCCGGGCGTCGAGGTTCAGGAAATTGGGATTTGGGAGCCGGGGGTTTCGGGTCTTTCCTTAGAATGATGCAACGATTGCACATGAGTTTAACTGTCTTGAGGGTCCATGTAATCAGCCCGCAAGATCTTTGTCTATTCTGCGCGGGCTTGAAAAAGGTAGCTTAGGGTTCAGGGTTGGGGGTTGAGGGTAAAAGTATGAGGTCTAGGGCCTTCTGAGCAACCCATGGTAGTCGGACAGTGGTCTCAGTCACTGACATGAAGATATTCGCAGCTTGCCAGGCAAAGTCCCTTTGAAAGGTTGCCTGTGCACTGGTTTACGGTTTAGGGTTTAGGGCCTGAAGAAATCCATTATGATTGTCTGGATTCCTGGTATATGGTAGAGCAGACCTGAATACCTCAATTAGACCTCAAAAAAATATTGGTAATTATAGGTCCCCGTGATACGTATGCGCCGCTTCATAGTCCCGCAAGATCGATACGCCAAACCCCGTGCCGTCAAAGAGCCCTGCATCAACATCCAGGTGTCCGGCACGAAGGTTCACAGTTTGCTCTCCTTCGGCCAGGAAAGAGCCCTGAAGGGTTCAGCCCTGAAGGGTTCAGGTTTTGGGGCTTGATCGTAGTCTCCATTGTCTCTTCCAATATCCAGACATAACCCCTGTATAACCCCATTATATCCTCACAGGAGCCTTAAACCCGGGGGTCTCTCTTACCCATTGTGGCACCAGGAGTCAATCCGTGTAGCTGCGCGCTTTAGGCCACTGAGCCTGCTCGAAAGGCCCTGGGGGGGGCCCTGGACCGCAAGGGATCTATGGATTAAGGGGATTCGGGGTTCAGGGTTTAGGGTGCGTAAGAGGGATCCTATAAGGAAAAAATGATTGATTAAGGGGATTCAGAGTTTAGGGTTTAGGGTGCATGAGAGGCATTCTAGAAGGAAAAATGAGAACTACCCACATTGGAGTTGCTCGCGGGGGTTCCTCAGGGCGTTTTGCATTGAAAGATGAACTCATCATAGGGTGAGGAAGGGTCTCAAAAAGGGTGTGGTGCAAAAACAAATTGTGAAAGTGATATGTTTCAAGATTTTAGCCTAGCGTTTGAAGCTTGAATTGCAACAGACTGGATCAGATCCGAAACCCTAAATCCTAAACACTATAAATCCTAAACCCTAAACTGCTAGCAGATCTTGGTACCAAGGCCCTTCCCAAAGAAAAGGACAAGACTGCCTCCCAAAGGGGATTCCTTAAAATTGGAGTGTGGACTTTGGAGGGTCCCTATTCCAAGGAGTATGTGAGCCATAGTCTAAACTCCTTAACGGGGATTTCATAGGGGAGTATTATCGGGCTCACTTAGGGGGATACTAGGAGGTCAGATTATATCTCATATAGGAGAGTGGGATGTTTATGGAGGAACCTCACTTCGGGGAAGCTCACACACAGGTCTGCTCCCAACTTGTCGTTACCAGGTCAGTTTTGCAAATATCCGAACCTCAAACATGAACATGGAACTTGGAGCAATGTCTTAAGGGTGACATTTATGGATAGTTGGTAAGAAATTTCCCCCATTGTTTCGTATGGAGACCTATTCCTCAATCTCTGTGGAGGCCCTTCAAGGACTATATACCCAGCCTTACTATGCCTTACATCATCCTTACATCTCCTTTCGCGGGAGGTCATGCGAGGGATCCGATCCCGGCTGCCTCATCCTACATCAGTGTGTAAGACAGTTGCCCAGAGGGTCCATGTACCCAATAATTAGGTACTTGGGTTTTGGGTAGGGGTTATGTAGGGGAAACTACTATAGTGTATGGGGGTGATATAGGGATAACTGAAAATGGAAAGTACTATAGTGTATGGGGGTTATATAGGAATAATGAAACAGAAGAGGGATCTGAAAGTCTGAAAGGGAGGGAGGGATTGTTTTCGCCGCCACTTATCCTCGGAACCCTTATCCCTGAAACAAAAACTAACCCCCAATATGCTATAGTAGTTTCGATTTTCTTTTCCATTACCATCCCTATATAACCCCAATAGACCATAGTAGCTTGATTTCCATTTTCTTTTCCATGATCCCATAGGAACTAACCCCCCAGAACCCTCAACCCGAAAAACCCTGAAGCTAAATTGGCAGGGAGAGTGGCGGTGCAGAGAAAGTCTGCGTAGAGTTCAACCAGGATGGTCAGTTCCTGGGTTGTCATTCTCCAGGGCTTGCGTTTAGGTTTGAGGATTTGGATTTAGGATGTTGCGTGGGTTCAAGGCTTATGGTAGGGTTCAGGGCTTTCGGAACTGTTTAGTCTAGATTCTAGATGTACGCAAGCAACGTCACCAAAATGAAGAGACATGATTTCTGCAACGATTCTAGTAGAGCCCTGGCGTTGAATCCACCCAAGACGGCCCTACGACAGTGTCCTCGAGCTGTTTTGCTTCTCCGCTTCTCCAACCACCCACCCCAGACCCATTGAGTTCAGAGGTTTCAAAAGGGTGGCATGCAGCTAGAGCGGGCTCAAAGTGGAATTTGGCCACCAAATCAGAGGTGAGAAAGCACCGACTAGTGTAGCAGTAGAGTAGCCCATTTCGCATAAGTCATTAGGGGTATGTTTTGAGGGTTTCGTAAAATTCCCGTCAAATTTCACAAAGGACTGATGCCAGGAGCTTGATACATGTGGGATCCAGCGTTGGCTTCAGGAATTTAGAAGCCCATGACAAGTGGGTAGTTCTGTAGGTGGCTTCAAGCCCCCAGAACCGCAACCCCTCAACCCCCCAACCCTCACTGGCAAATTCGCGGAAAAAAGGAATCATAGTAGTTATAGTAATAAGCGTCGTAGTAGTAGTAGTAGTAGTAATTATTATTATTATTAGTAGTAGTAGTAGTAGTTAGTAGTAGTAGTAGTAGTAGTAGTAGCCAGTAACAACAGTATAATTGCAATCTCAACCCAGGTCATGTACTTTGCGAATGCAGAAGTTTCTCGGCTGCCTAGTCCATGGACAGGCCTAGGACGTTCTGGATGGGTTTATCAAGCAATCTCTAGCTGGTGTGTAGCAGCAGGCCGGTAGGGGTAGAGAGTTTAGGGTTTAGGGGTTTAAGGCTTAGAGTTTAGGGCGATATATTCAAGCTTTATCCCCAGCCATCCAAAAAGTCCAAGGGTAGATGTTATTTACGGACCTGGACCAAAGACAGGTACCATTGATGGACTTCGAGTCTCAGCGAACAGACATTTACCTTCATGGACCCTTCAGGTAGATTTTTTGAAATTGCCCACTCAAACTGTAAACCCTAAGCCTCACATGAGCTACTGTCAATATCAGGCTTACCAAGGGGAGTAGTTTAGTATAGTCCCTAGTAGATCTCCAAAAAGTATTCTATTCCCAACAAGAGGGACTAATGTCCATTCACTACATGCGGAAATATTGGCCGTAGCTCGCATGATTTTGTCTGCCATACCCTGATCGCTGCAAGGACGCACGGAATCTGTGAGTTTCCCTTCGCCTACGACCATCTTTTTCAGCCAGAAGCTTCGCAATATGATGCTTCTTGTTCTGTGGAAAATGGGTTTTGGGTTCAGGGATGTTACCCCATGATGGAGAATATCAAATGGGGTTGCACAGTAAATCCCAGTATGGATTTAAAGTGAGGATAGGCCCGCAAGTGCATCACCACCTCCATTTCTTGGGAAAAACGATGAAGAGGGCCGAAAACAAAGGCAATGTTCAAGAGGGCACAGCTCTGAGTTTCCACCCCAAATGCTAAACCCTAAGCCCCAAAACCCTAAACCTCTAAACCCTAAAGCCTTACACCCCTCAACCCTACACCCCTCAACCCTACAACTCACCCCGGAAACCCTCAACCCTAAAACCCTCAAATCTAAAACCCTAAACCCTCAACCCTAAAACCCTCAATCCTAAAACCCTCAACCCTAAAACCCTAAACCCTAAAACCTTCAACCGTAAAAACATAAAACCCGAAACCCTAAAACCCTCAAACCCGGAAACCCTAAACCCTAAAACCCTCAACCCCTACAACCCTGAAACCCTAAAACCCTGGGCATCCATTTTCTTTTCCATTCTGCCTATATAACACCTGTATAATATGACCCCTATAGTAGCTTCTTGTCCAAATGGACAAGAACATGGACAATTGCAAGAACTCTGGGGGCATAGAATGGATCATAGGGCTTAGGGTGTCCTAATATTAGTGGCACCTTTTGGGGGGGTCCCTATAATGAGGATCATAGTACTTTGGGGGCTTTATTGCCCCATGATAAGGGAGACTACCACTGAAATTGAAATGGAAAGTATCATAAAGAAACAGTTTCTACTGGGGAAATGGATAATGTGGGATCTATTGAGGTCCCCCATCACGGAAACTACCACGTGAGATGAAAACTTTAGGGATTCGGGCCCATATTCGGGCCCATCAGCAGAAACAAGTAGAAAGGAAGATAGACTGCGACGTGGACCTGTGGGTATATATGAGGGTTGTACAAGGATTCATTATTACTGGTTAATGCAAGGATTTTGAGAATCCCAACCCCCCAAATTGGGACCCTCTTATTGCAGTCATGATACTCATGTGATAATTCTAGGGTTCTAATTTTGTGGGTCGGGGTTCCGAAAACCCACCTACGTACTGAGGCCTGTCTAGCAAATAACCTGGAAGCTTTCTGGGTCTGAGTCTCAGTATTCTAGGTATATAGGATGAAGCCCGAACTTTTGGGTACATAAAATGCAAACCCTACACCCTAAACCCCTCAACCCTAAACACTTTAAATACTCCGTAGACAAGCCTTAGCTGCTGGGTGCCCAAGGTTTATAGAGCCGTCGCGCAGCCGATTGTTGAAGGAGTCATCCATGGATGCTTGGCGTGCAGGGTTGCAAGATGTTTCTGGGTGGCTGTTAAGGAACGTAAATGAAGTGGCCGTTATATCCCTATAATGGTCGCCTTGTTCAAGTTCATTCATTTCAACCCAAGCTTTTGTTGGGCCAGGCGTCCGTTTCACTTTCTAGGGCCCTGTGTTGATGACACTTACAGACTAGACCCTAAACCCTAAGCCCTGAACCACCCTAAGCCCAAAGCCTGGAACTCTAAGCCCAAGCCCTACACCCCTAAATCCTAACCCCCAAATGCAAGCTGTAAATCCTAAACCCTAAGCCCAAGACCTCAACCCTAGACTGAGGGTACAACGGGGCAATCCTGGCCTATGGCCAGACGGGAAGCGGCAAGACGCACACCATGCTGCATGGTGCAACTTTCTTGGGTGTAACGTAGGTAGGGTTCAGTGGGTAGGGTTTTGTGTTTATAGGATTTAGGATGGATGGTGCAGTTTGCAAAGTAGGGTGTTATTGGAGTATGAAGACACTAGAGTTCCAGAAGGATTATAGGGTAGTAGTTTTGGTAATTGTTCAGACTTCTACATGGCGTTGGATATTGATCCAACGTGAGAACAGTCCTTCCAATGTGCCAAATCAGGTCTTGCATACGATTGTAAAAGTGGGGGGCAATATCCAACAAACCCAAAACCCTAACCCCTAAACCCTACAACCTAAAACCCTACCCTAAACCCATTGGTAGTGTTGGGCTTTGGGGCGGGGAGTGCATTGTATGTTGCATATTGGGGTTTCGCAGCATAGGGGCTATAAAGGGACTACATAGGGATAATGGAAAAACAATGGAAACTACTATAGGGGTTGTATTTCATAGGGGACTGTAAAGGGGGACTGGAAGAGAAAATGGCAACAACTATTGGGGTTACATTTTATAGGGGTTGTAAAGGGATAATGGAAA